GGGCAGAGGGGTCGGGGAAGGCGGGGTAGGGGGGCAGGCAGATGCACCAAAAATGCCCAAACAAGGGGGAAATGTGCAAAAAGACGGGTGGCCAAATTTTCGGACTGCAGGGAGGAGGATTGGATGGAGGGTAATTACCTGAGATGACCCCCAATACGCCTGGGCCTGCGGCCTCGGCGGATGATCAACCCCTACAGTACTGTCTTGCCGTCAAGACCCGGCTGTGTTTTGGGTGTCGTGAGATATTTCTCAGAGAAGTCCCACCTGTTGTGCACGCCAAGGTCGGTGAGGCCATCGACCACGGCCCCATCCTCGACATGTTTGAGGCGGCCTCCGCTCCCCAAACCATGCCTGGGCAGTTCATATGGGAGTTTCCGAAAATAGACATGGCACCCGAAACTTATTATAAGGACCCAAAATGACCCAAAATAAGGTACCCTATATCCGTAAAGAGAACCCGAGGCTCCTGGGCTTGGTGGCCTTGTGCAGAACAATCGCCAGGCGCGGTCTAGACTCTGAGGGCTGCAGGGGAGGACAGGGGGAAGAAGATGCTCAAGTATGCATGCGGCCGCTTGACCACTCCACCTCTGGCAGATGTAGTTTTCTATTTCGCTTCATGGAGGCTTCCCTTTTCATCATACAGCCGAGCCCCGCAAGCCGGGAGCCGGGAACTCCCGAGGCTTGCAGATGTTTGAAGGTTCCCAGGCTAGTAGCGGATTGGTCGGCCAGGGTTCAAGTTGCTCCAAGCCGGTGGAAGGAGACAGCAGTTCATGCAACACCATGATGCGCGAGCATTCTGATGCTACTGTCTCTACTTAAACACATTGTTGAATATTGGGCATGGTGTGCCTGGCCGCGATCGCGTCCTGCAGCTGGATTTGGATGTGTTCTGCAATGGTCAAGTCCTGGTTTTATGACACTCGTGGTGGATCCAACATCTGCGGACATGGATGTTCAGTTTGAAGGACGAGAAAGTCAAGGTTAGTTTTCATCTCGAGATGCATCACTCGAGAAAGGACTTGGTGTTTCCGAAGGCATTCCAATGTCCTTGCAGCAGATCACCAGGTTTACGATGCGCTGGCGCAAGCAGCCGCGACTTTGCAGCAAGCCAACTTTCGATTGAAGTGTGAGGGCTTCGTTGCCTGTTTGTTTCTGTGTTTCTGCGCTTATTTGTTAGTTTAATCGGACTGGGTGCTGGGAAGCTGTAAGTCGGAAGGGGGGGCAGGCGTGCCTCCCTGTGCCGATACCTGCAAGTGCCATTGGAGTACTGGGGCGATGCTCATTGAAATGTCGAGGTTCAGGCAATGATTGTATGACGGCAGTGTATGTTATGAGCAGGCTTGGGTTGGCTCTGTCAGCGGCTAGATAACGCCAGACAGGTGGAGAGGAACTTAGGAGGTCAGATAGATGACCCAGCTGGATGTGTCGGGATGGAAGCCATCCCTCCCCACAAGATCCAGACACGAGCAATGCCTCCACGAAGCCAAGGTCCAACGATTTCCCGCCGCATTGGAGCGCTTCTCTGCAGGCGAAGACTTGGCGCCGTGCCAAGGCGAACAGACACTAGCTGTCCGGTTCATAAACCTCCCGATGGGAGTTTCCGAAAATTCGGGGTACCTTGTTTTGAGGTCCGAAAAAAAGGATCCGACTGTTTAATTACGGCGCTAGGTTTGGGTCCCGTATTTTCGGAAAATTCCCGTATGCCAAACAAAAACACGCAACTCTGCCCTGGCTCCAGGAGGTCCGCTTAGTTTCAAGGGCCCGGGGTCGAGGAAGGGGGAGGGCGAACATGCGATGCTCGGAGCTTCTGCTCGTCCGGGACCAGGGACCAATGATCAAAAGTGTCTTTTTCATAAGTTCAATGAATCCAAGAAGGCTCTAGGTTACCGGCTATCTCTGGAGGTTCTAGCTCCCTCGGAGGGGCCTTTCTCTCTCTAGTCTTGGAGTCAAGATTATGGTGTAGGTGTAGCACAATTATCACCCCTCCGGCGGAATCTGAGAAATTTGGCACTCGCGTGATCCCGCCACGAAGGAAGACGAAGATGATGGTGAGCATGAAGTACAAAAACATGCTCACGTTCTGTCTCAGATGAAACGATCTTTTCAGAAGGCTGTTGAGGCTACCTTGCGGTTGGGACAATTCCTTGTGGTTGCACACGGTTCTGCAGGGTAGTAGTAGCACAAATGAAGGCCTTGACATCTACCACAAGAAGGGCATGCCCAATGATGGCTGGCTTTCATTTTACTGGAGCCGTGGCGGATGAGATGTTGGGCCACTCACTGTGTGCTCTTTCAAGGGGGCTGCTGCATGCAGGGTTGAGACATAAGGGACGTCGGATAGCTTTGCCTTGAAGTTGTAGCATGAACTTTGCAGTGATCCGATTGGTTTGGAGCTTGAATTGATGCACCCCCTGAGGCCCCTCAAGTAGGACGTCTGAATCTTCGCGGGCTTTCATCGAGGCCGTGTTGAACAGGTGGATTTTCTGTACTTACTTATCTGCAGCGGGCTTTGTTTCCATGCTTAACTTAGTGTAATTTTTCTGGTCCTCGCTTGTATAGCTAGTCATGATGATTGCTTGCAGGAGCATTTGGGTCGGGTTCTTCTTCTCCACAATCTCGATCCAACATCGCAGATGGAAATTCCAGCGCAGGAGTGATGACTTCCTGATTCGATTCTCCTTGGCACTGGATTTTGCTCCGTACTTGCCCGGGCGGACACGTGTCGAGGCCTGGAAGCCTAAGTGTGTTGACACCGGGCAGCGCGCATTTCGAGGGGTTGGAGTCACGGTTGAAGCTCCATCCGGGTCTCATACAGTTGACGTGCTTTGAGCAGGAGGGCGGCGAAGCTCCTTGGCCAAATCTTGCTGCCAGCATACAGGGCATACTCTCCTGATGCCTGCAGGTTACGGTATCTTAAGTGCCTGCAGGCATGAGGAGAGCCGAAATTCAGGACTTCGGGTCAGAGCATAGCCAGCACAGCACGCCTTGGCCCGATTTCCCGGCTTCTGGTGGAAACAGCGGCCCAAGCCTGGTAAGCCAAGTTCTTCCTCTCGAGATCAAGAGTCGGGAAAATGGCAAAACTACGGTTGATAATGCCAATCCTGCATCACCCATATTCAGGAAGTAATGCTTGCCTAATTCCCAAAGTTTAGGGTCCTTAAGGTAATGCAGGCTTTATATCATCAACCGTAAGGCCATAGCCCTGGCAGTGGAAGCGTCGTGTCCAGCGCTCGAGGAGCCTAGGGAGGGTCGGGTCTGAACTGGGAATGACGCTGTTCAAGTTTCGTGACATCGACTGCCACTTTCTAGAGTCATCTTCGTGATGTCGCGAACGACGCCTCGCCTGGAAACAATACCTTGTTCTTTGCATGTACCGGCCCTAGCTACATCGTCACAGCATGCGCCGATAGTCTCCCTGCGGAGTTCACAGCCATCGCATTGTCCGACCTGTAGCACCCCAAAAGGGTGAAAGAGCGCCCTAAATGCTTGGAAGGATCCGGCAGCAGGGGGAGCAGCAGTGGGTGAGGTTTTGGACGCAGAAGAGGACTGTGAACCGGTGGGCTTGAGAGTTTTTTCTTGAGTTCGTGGATTTTCGGCGAAGAATGCAATGTTCCTCGGCCCTAGGGATACAGAAGTTGGAGCCTTGCCTAAAGCATCCGAATTGTGGGAATCTTGGACCTAGCCTCGAGACGAACCGCCGCCGAGTTCAGGTAGTCAGACCCGCACCAAGCGACAAGCAGAAAGCGCAATACGGTTGATGATACAAATCCTGCATTACCTTGATGACCCGATGACCCCAGACTGTGGGAATTATGGTATTAATTCCTTAGTATGGGTGATGCAGGATGTATATTATCAACCCTGCGACCATCAAGCCATCTCAAGGCTCAGGAAAACATAGTACCTGTAAGACGTAGTACCGAAGGAGCAGTCCTTCCAAGCCTTGCGGTTCAGTGAAGCTTTTTGAAACCTGTGCTCAGGGCTTGCTATTGGTGAAAACTCGCTTTGGAGCCCTTCGCTGCCGACAGCTCACCGGGACTCGAGTTACGAAGGGCAGCGTGCCTGGGCCGATTTGGTGATAAAAGGCTGGGCTGGAGGACTTCACGGCCCGTGTATATTGAAGAGGATTTAGCTGGTCGCGGATGTTTAGCACGAAAGGTGTTTCTTGCTCCCTTGCAAGATGCATTAGGCAAGAAAGTCAACTGCAATGCGATCCTTCAGGGCGGTTTCTTTCAACGTCTGTCTTGGAAAGCTCGATCGGCAATGAGCACTGAGTAGTCACAGCAGCATGACAAAAAACAAATGTTGTGCTGTAAGCTTCTCACTGCCAGCTGCTCATCTCCGGGCGCCCGCTTGAGCAGTCGGCAGCACCAGGCAGAGCACACCCAGGCCCGAAACCGTATGGATTTATGTGGTATTCATCCGTAGGACAGCTTCTCAACAGCCCTTTGGTGCCGATCCGGAGGTCCTTGCCCCCATGCTATTCCGATGCACTTCAGTGGGCAGGACTGCCGGCCTGGTCACCTGTCATAGACAGGTTGGGATTCTGTTTCAGTTGGATGCTGCAAGGGTCTGCACGCATGTAGTGTTGTGCTATGTCAGACAGCTCAACTGCGGGCCGCAGGAGCTGCCTTTGGAGCCTTACCTGTCAGAAAAGTGCGGAGCTGTTTGTGTAGCAAAGCTCGAGCCATGCTATCTGTGTTTGCCCGAAGTGGAAGGCTGGCCGTGAGAATCCTGTCTGCGATGTGCCAGGTGGGCTCAAAGAAGCTCGGGTATGTAAAGGACCACGCCCACAGACTGGAACAGTCGCCTCATGTCTTACCTAATCAGGTTCTGTCAGTTTCGGGGCCTGCCTGCCGTTTGCAGGCTAAGCCTCGCATCGATTTAAGCGACTTCATCGAGCAAGTTGCATGACACCGCCATGCGCCAGCTTCCGCAGACTGACGGTTCTTTCCGCGTCTTTCCGCCTTCGCCTTGAGCCCCCAAAAGCATGATAAAGCATGGTGCTGCCCACGACCCTCGCAGAGCTCAAGGCCGGGGTCGGGAAGCCTCCACTCCAGAGTTGCCGGCTTCCTGAAGAGCCGGAATTCATCAAGTCCGTTTCCGAAAAAGCTGGTAGCTGAGCAGGTCCTCGTTGCCGGCAGCTTCTGCCTTGAGCATAGGGCATAGGGCTCTGCCACTTTCACTTTGCCAGGAGTGGCTATCCATCGACAGCCAGGCCCTTCTGCAGTCAGCCCGCGAAGAAACCGGAGATACTGTTTGCCGTGAAGGCAGTTCCGCTCCTGGTCCGTGGAGACGGGCGTCGCCAGGCCTTGGTGAACGATGCAGACGTCCAGGCGGCGCTAGGACGTCGAACGGCATCCTGCTTTCAACCCATTCCTTGTCGTCCGCGCTGGCTTACCAGTGGCAAACGGCAAATTGCTGTAGGGGTCATGCTGAGGATGGATGTTCGGGAACGCACCCAGTTGAAGCTTCGACTTGCTTGTTTGTCTGGCCTGCGAGAGTGATGTGGGACCGACACTGCACCATCACCCCGTCACCGTTCAATGACACCCACTCACCCCAGAGAGTCACGGACCACAGCCATCGCCAGAGCATCGTCGCCATCGCTATGGTTCTGCCATGCATTCCTTCATATACCTTCTTCGTGTACCGATTCCTACAGAGGCGGCGATCTTGGTGACCGAGGAAACCGGCGAGACCCTGCAGGCTCGACAAAGGAGAGCTCAAAAGCAGTTGTGGATTCGGGATTTGGGAGAGAGAGAGAGAGAGAGAGAGAGAGAGAGAGAGCTTTTTACGTGTCACCTGGGACCATCTGTTTCTGTTTCCTACAGCCGGGCTTGACGTTTCGAATGCCTGGGAGAGAGAGAGAGAGAGAGAGAGAGAGAGAGAGAGAGAGAGAGAGAGAGAGAGCTTGTTGCCCAGTCTTGTCTCCCACTCATTGGGACTGCCGGGCTCAGGGTCGAGCATCAGTGGATTGTCAGTTTCTGCGGCTGAGCAAGGCGTATGAGTCCCCAATTTCAGGTCTCGAGTCTAGATGAAGGAATCTCAGGAGTAGCCGTTTTGTCTCAAGGCGAAGGTAAGTTCTCGGAGTCGTAGCCGTAGCCATGGCATGCTCTTGCTCGTCGCTTCTTTCGGGGCTCTTGGCTCTGCTCTTGGTCTCGGGTCTTTCGTGGTGTTGGAGCTATGTGAAGGACCTGGAGAAGCGCGTTGTTACTGTGAGCGACCGCCTCGCAGCCTTGGAAGTTCGCTGTGCCATGCAACACCACGCCACTGCGGGTGCAGCGACGCCACAGAAGGGTGAGTCACTGCCGTGGCCTTCCACCCATTCTGCCAGGCATTTGTCCCAGACGCAAGAGAAACAGGACCACGAAGCCGTCGATGTTGTCTCACGGTTTTTCCATACTGACAACGAGACTTACAAAATGCACATGGCGATTGCGTTGCAAATGTCCTGTCCCAGGAACCGTCTTGCCAAACTTCTTCCGGGCTCCTCTACTAGTGAAGAAAGAGAAGCTCAGCTAGTGATATGCGCTGCAACGCTCGGGCATAAGGATGAGGCGTTTGCCGTTTTGCAGCAGTATCCACATTTGGCAGATCTAGCTCTGGCTGCTGCTGCATTTGGCGATGTTGCGTTTACCACCCCGGATGAAGATGACACACTCCAAATTATGCAATTTGCAAGGTTGAGAGATCTTGTGAAGAGCAATCTTGGCAGCCGTCTCGAGATTGTTCGGCAATTGTTCACACAAGGTGCCAGCGGGAATTCCATTTTCATTGACCAGGGAATTGACCTGGTTCGGAAGAAGAAAGTTGACATTGACAAACGGATGCTGCGACTGTTGTCTTGGGGAAGCGTGAGAAGATTTCTCCTTGTTGAGCCGTTGAAAGCGGCGACGATAGGTTTCGCCGAAGCTTTTGAAATGGGTTTCGAAAACTTCCTGAACTTTCGGAAGTTTGCAGATAAAATTCCACAATCCGCCCTGGTCTACCCCAAGGCTGCGATTCAGTACTCAACGGAGAACCCGCAGGTTCTGGAAGAGAAGAGCAGTGATGGTAAAACAATGCTGATGGAAGCGAGGTCTGTAAACTTCACAGGTGACCTTGATCCTTTCCCTTGCCTTTTGGCGGAAGCTAAGCTGCAACAGACTCCCATAGAGCAAATGTCGGCTAAAGGTGAGAATGCCGCAATGCTGGCAGCAAAAGCTGGCTTTTTGGATAACTCCAAAGAGCTTGAAGAATTGAAAGTGGGAAGGAGATGGAGGACACAAGTGGGGTTTACCACTTCCAGTACATGCTGCTCTTAGTGGTGGGTCTGCACGTAGCGTTTGCTGTTGTGGGCCTCGCGTGTACCTACGGCGACACCGGTGGCAAACAAGAACGTACCGGGCATCTGCTGGACTTCCTGCTGAAAATCTTCATTCTCACAGCCTGCAATGCCCTGATCCACTACGCTCTGGTACCCGGCCTCCTGCTTCGACCTGACGTGCTGCTGCAGGT